TGCTGCTGCTTGTTTTCTGCTGCTGCTTGTTTTCTGCTGCTGCTTGTTTTCTGCTGCTGCTTGTTTTCTGCTGCTGCTTGTTTTCTGCTGCTGCTTGTTTTCTGCTGCTGCTTGTTTTCTGCTGCTGCTTGTTTTCTGCTGCTGCTTGTTTTCTGCTGCTGCTTGTTTTCTGCTGCTGCTTGTTTTCTGCTGCTGCTTGTTTTCTGCTGCTGCTTGTTTTCTGCTGCTGCTTGCTTTCTGCTGCTGCTTGTTTTCTGCTGCTGCTTGCTTTGTGCTGCTTGTTTGCTGCTGCTGCTGCTTGTTTGCTGCCGCTGCTGCTTGTTTGCTGCTGCTGCTGCTGCTGCTGCTTGTTTGCTGCTGCTGCTGCTGCTGCTGGCCTGTTAGCGTTGTGGCTAGCTTTTGACCCCCTCCCCCTGGCCTCAAGTTGTGCTGCAGTTGCGAAGCCAGGATGTAACTCCGGAGGCAGCCATCGAAGTCCTGAAGTCTGCACCTGGTGTGGAGGTGGCTTGCTGAAGTCTAAAGTCATGGTTGGCCTGATGCACTCGAGCAACACCGGATGGTGCTGGTAGATCGGAAACCTAGACATTCCTGGGCGCTTGCAAGGGAGTGGGGTCATCTTCGTTGGAGGGGTCAGGGTCTTGGAGTTTGAGGGCTTTAATGGACCATGTTGCTGCTCTTCAACTTTTTGTCTCAAATCCCAAGCAGCGGTTGAAACAGGCCTTTCGGAATTTCAAGAATCTCCTGGAGAGCTCTGCACAAAACAGTGCAAGGTTGTGCTGCCACCCTTCGATGTACACCCCAGAATTGAAGAGACTAATCAATCAATCGCAACCTCACCTACCAGGAGGGGGGTGGGAGGCTTGATTGCAACTCTCAACCATGTTGAGTCATGGCACTGTTGACCCGCGACTGTTGACCCCCGCTACCACCGATTGGCTCTACGTAGCAGTTTCAAAAAAACACAAGACTCTGTCTGGCAAGTGAGACAACGAAAAAAGAAGTGCTTGGGCCCCTTCTGTTTGCCTGAAGTTGCTTTTGTCTCATGAGTCTCTGGGTGGCAGGTGGTTGACAGCCCATCCGAAAAAGTGCCGCTTGGTTTCATGAAGTGGTGCTACAGAGCTGGATATTCAACTTCTAGCAGCAGTGCAGCCTCAGAGTAGTTCGAATGGCCCTTTTGGCCAGAAAGGTTTAGCCCGCTCCTGAAGACCAAAGTGCGTAGAGCCCTTGCCAAGGTATCCCATGCCTTTGACATCAACTAAAAAATATGACGTGGAGGTGAGTCTTTGAGATCTCAGCTTTTTTGACATGTCTCGTTCTGTCTTTCTTTCTTTCTTTCTTTCTAAAGCTTTGGCTCCAAAGTTCGACCAATGAGTCAAATGGCACGAGTTTGTTCGTTGGCTCTCGCAGTGTCTTGAACAGCTGTTCACCTTCACTCTCTCAAGTCACAACAAAGCTTTGCTTGCTTTGCTTCAACTCCACCCGACCAGGTTGGCCGCATCCGCCGATCTTTGATCTTTGCTCCCAAAGGCTTGGACCTATTTGTGTCAGGCCTGGAGCGTGCTGAGGCAATCGACCCTTTGTTGGTCCAAGCCCAAGTTGTTTGCCCAGGTGACCAGCTACTACGTGGGGCCGCACTGAACGCAGTCCTCATTGCTGAGGCCAAGTTGGAGTAACAAAAGAGAGCGGAGCGACCATAGTATTACAGTATAGGGTTGTTCCATGTCAAGGGGTCAAACGCGCTGAAGTGGAATCTGTCATAAGTCGACTCTTTTGTTGCTGTAATCGCTTTGTTGCCAACCTTAAAGTCTGCAGCAGGATAATGGCAAGAAAGCTTCTATGCAAGTTCGGTGAAGCAATTGGCCCGTCTTTTTGATACATTTGGGAAGAGCAAGAACGTAGCTGGAGGAGGTAAGGTGTGATGAGGTGAGCAAATTGGTACCTTGCCACAAGCACCTATTGCGCTCAAACTTTGCATATAAGCTTTTTGTACTAGGAGGCAAAGCTCACCTCGGCCGACAAACAGAAAACCCGCCACGCACTCCATGTCCAGAAGGCAGCTGTCCAAGTTCACAGCAGAGCATTTGGTGTGCTGCAGCAAGAACAATCCGAAACAAGAGTCATTGCTGCTCCCTAGACGCCATACCCTGCTATCCTGTGCAACCAGGCCAGGAGCAACATATTATAGCAACATACAATTGAAAGGCGGCTACTTGAGCGAAGAAGAATGCTCCAGGGTGAGAAAGCTGAAGGGAAATTAAGGAAGTGTTTATAGAATTCTGCATGACTTCCATTGGGTCATGGGTTTGGATTGGTCTTTCGTTTGGCAGGGCAGCAAGCAACATGTGTCCCGCAACGTTTCGGCTTTGTTGCCTTCTTTCAGGAGGCCGGAGAACACAAACAGATGGAGTATCAGGGTGTGCGTAATTTGATTTCAGTCTCTATGTGAACATTATCAACACCAACTAGCGCATTTCAACACCAAGGATGCTAACATAGTACATTTTAAGGAAGACGTTGATGCCCAATCGGCATTGAAGTTCAAGTCAAGTACTCGCACAGCAAAAGGACAGTCACCCAATTGTGATGAGTCAAGTCTTGCACGTCGCTGATCGTCGCTGATCGCTGACCAAGACTTTTTAGAGCTCATGTCAGCCTCTGCATCCAGTTGGATGCGATTCTGGGAAGGTGGTGGTGACAACAGCAGCTTTGGCTGAAACAATGTTGGGCCTATTCTGTTCAAGCAAAATCATTGCCTGTTGGGAATGGTTCTTGGAGTCTCCAGTTTCATGACCAACTTCGTAGAACATGTCCGACAAGGTACGATATGGACTGAATGATGTACACATCTTTTCAGATCTCTCAATTCTACTTAGGCAACGGTAGCAAGAATGGCCGCAAAAGTCCCGCAGGTGCATGGAACGCAAACGCATTGACTGCTGAGAGTCTGCATGCAACACAGACAGCATTGTCCGTATAACGTTTTGCGACCAAATATTTGTGTTTGTGTTTATTGAACCTAGTTGAAAGGTCTCTTTGCAATGCGTTTTCGAGTTGCAACGACTGTTAGTCCTGTCCTTTGGAGGTCCAAAAGCGACGATTCATAGCGACTTCATTCGTTCGACTCCACATCAGAATTCTTCCCTGGCTCTTGAAGCGAGCCTTCGGAACAGCATTCGCCGAAGGGCCAAGCGGATCGTCACCAATCCGTCGCTTGATCGAGAAACCGGGCCAAGCTGGAGTGCTGTTTGGGCTTGCAGAACGTCAGGAAATTCTCACACTCCTCTCACCGCATCTTTCCAAAAAACAAACAGCAATATGGCGGCCTGAAAACGTTTTGGGCTTTGGTGCTTCTCAGGTATATCACTCAGTTCATGGCTTTTGTGGTCCTGTTCGATGCCTACTGTAACTGGAGCGACATTGACGCTCGAGCTCAAGAGGAGCGGCCGCCTGAGATCCTCCAAATAGGCCTGGTGATTCCACATTTGAGTCGTCGTTGTGTCAGAGTTTGAGCAATGACCTTTGTTGCTTCAATGCGCCATGGAGGCTCCGTCGTTTGCCTGTCACTGTTGCTTGGATGAATAATTTGTGGTTGGCTTGTCTCTTGGAGACTCCAGAGGGCCATGGACGCGTTGGAAAGAAAAGGAGACTCCAATGAGATTGGTTGCGATTCCCAGTTTGCCGATGATTTGTGGACACTCCTGCTGATTTGCTTGATTTCTGAGGATCAATCGGGATTTTTGTTGATCTTGGGGATTCCTTGACAATGTGTTTTTGCTTTCTGGCTTCAAAGGAAGCATCCACAATCTGACGGCAGTTATGCTTTACACAATGCCACAGAGGCTAGCACCACCGCAAGCGCAGCAAGTAGGCAGCTACAGTGAAGCGACCATGAGCACTTGTTGCAGTCTGGCTACCTTGACACTCTCAGACATGACATAACACATTTCTGCGACAGCACAGCTTTTTTATACGCAGGCTACAAGACTCTACTGTATTATTTGTATTTCGGAGCAGGAACAACCATGGATAGTCCTGTATGGCACGGAATAGAATTTGAAATCTATGTGACAATATTACCTCGTCGTCAGCCTCCAGCTGCTGAGGTACACTATTGAAGTAATTCTGCTGACCGTAGGACAAGGCAGTCGGTGATTTCTTGCGTCAGGAAGCCTGAGTACTGTCTACATGCAAGCAAGCAACTAATAACTAGTTTGTGGGCTACATATAGCTACACATGGATTTGATATGGACCCATCATATTTTTGCAGTCTCTGTGAACAAATTTCTTTATAGGAGCAAAGGTGAAGCAAAGCAAGTAGCTTGTTGTTGCAAGGCCCTCACACTTCTAAAACCCGGTGCACCAACTTCTTGTATTTCTATGTACATGGCCGAAACATATCGACACATAGAAGATCCGCAGGGTCAGATGCTTCTTGTTTGGGACGACTCAAAGCCACCCCGTTCTGGAAGGTGTAAGGACTGCATGTCAAGTACAATGATATGGAATGGTTGCTAGTGCTACTACTTTTGGCATCACTGTTGTTCAAACCATGTGGAGCAGGCCATGGAGACAAATCTTTTTGCTTGTAGCCTTCAGCAGCTTTTTCGCTTGACCACGTCGAAGCTTTTGCTCTTTTGCCAGGCCGTTCTGTTCTGAAGGATAGCATGTTTATCTTGGATCTTTGATCCTTGGTTGATAACGAGGGAGCAGATACTCAAGGTGGAACAGACCGACTCAGCATCTTTTGTTGGCTGAAAGCCCATTCTGCATCTTCCTATTTTTGATGTGTCTGCAACTACAAGATCATTTCTGGATTTGTTGCACTGTTTTCACTCTTGGCCTAGTTTTTGTGTTTCGGTTAGCCATCACCGAGGTGTCATTGTCTGCGGTTTCTTGGAAATGATCCTGGATTCAGTAGCATCAGATCTCGCAGCCAGGCGCTTCAAAGATTTGTGGCTGTCCAAGACAGTGCAAGAAGGATACGCAAGACACCAAGGGGGATTCAGGAGTTGCACTTTGTCTTGCTTCAGTCTTTAGATTTGATTGAACTGTTTTGCAAGATCGAACCCATTGTATATACCTATCTGCTTGAGTATATAGATGTAAGATTTCCGAACAGAGCTTGGAACGACATTTTGATTAATTGACAGGGTTAGCATCCTCAGCATTCTCCGGTTGCTGCGACTTGGGCGAGTCGTTCGCTTGGTTCGGCTCTTCGGGAAGATCCGAGCCTTGAGAGAGCTTCAGAAGCTCCTTGTCAGATGTGGGAGAAGTGGAGTGGCCTTGAAATAGGTGAGGATGGATTTGCATTTTCACAAAAGCGTAGAGCCGTCACGAGTTTTCCAAGAAGGAACGCAGAACAAAAAGTTACTCTGCAATCAGGCTGACGCCTTGAGTCTTGTCTGGTCTCCATGTGCTCATGTTGGTGATAGTGTCCCAGTGCTGTCGTGCGTGCGGGCGTGCGGGCGAGCGGGTGATGCGCCAAAAACGGTGGCCACAACTAGAGGAAGTAATGCAGTGAGGGGACAGGAGTTGCTACAGGAGTAAGAAACCTTGGCAGAGAGAGAGAGAGAAAGAAATAAAGCAAGAAAGGGAGGTGTATAGCCCAGTTACGTAGTGGTACAGCGTTGACGTCATTTGCTGACAGACTAGGATCCGGAAGGGTTTGACTCCTACAAAAGACGATGACTGGGTGAGAAACTGGTGCAAGGTCCAGAAAAAAAGAAAGAAAGGGAGTGCACAAGCAGCTATATATTTCTAGAGAGCTGGTTAGCATAATTCATGCACAAAATGAGGCCGCATAGTGACACGTTATCTGGCGGACTGAATGCTGTTGTATTGTCCTGAGTACCATGGTCAGTGTGCTTCCTTGACGCTATGAGAAGATCAGCAAAACTGTTTCTTCAAACCATCCGGCGCATTTGGCGAATGGGAGGTTCCACCCAGAACACTGATGCAATTTTCGGCTGTGGCCACCTTGGTGCTTGCCGTCCTGTTTTGCGACTTAGAAGGGGCTCTTTGTGGAGCAAATGCCGCAATTACCATGCCTTTGGGTGCCCGGTACAGTTTCCATTGTGAGGATCGATGCGCAGTTGTGCCATGGACGAAGAGCCTGTACGTTCGGTTGTTCGGTCTCCCCACATTTCCAAGTGTGAGCCTTTGCACAATGATCCCAGGCTCGTGACCATGATTTCCACTTGTCTCAAGGCTGGACTAAAGCTACTGAGGGCCAAACTTTTACTGTACATTGCTTTCCTTTCGCAAGTCAGACCTTTGATCGATTCACACACAGGCTTTGGCCTGGTCCTTCGTTTTCTGCTTCATCGTCATGACTATATGGGCCATGCTTCTCGTGGAATTAGTGCACCCATTGATACAGGAGCCAACTTTCCAATATCCATTAGTACAGGAAGAAGCCTTGATGATGTCAGGAGCTGAATGCCAACACAAGCGTTTTTGCAGACTGCAATCAATGCCTACGTGCAACCTCAAGTGTGATGCATGCGAACTTGCTGCTCTTCAAGACAGTCATCGCGGGCGACAGTTGGGGTAAAATTGCTGTACCGGTCATTGAGATGCTTGGACAGCAAGACTCGTTAGCATTGTTGTTACCTGTCATATCAAAGTAGTGAAATCGAGTACGGACGTGCCACAGAGGTTTACGGCCATAAGGCTATGATCAAGTGTCGCATCATGTTTCACACATGTCACATATAGCATCATGTTCCACACGACATACATATCTGCAGTCCGAGTTTGGTAGCGGAGCCTCCCCCTTGGCTCCGTTGCCGCCATAAGCATCGAGCGATCGGCACGGCTACCAGGGCCAGCGGGATAGGTCTCAGCCTGCGGGTGTGGCCTGGCAGTGGTCACTGAGGCCGAATTCCAGCCGGTGGTCACTGAGGAGAAGAAGAATATGAAAAGAGAAGGTGGACAGCCGGTGATTGCGTGACGCTGCTCAGTGGCAGCACTACGTCCTCGAGAGCCTCATCACTATCCTGCTACACATCCTGTACTACAAGTGGTATGCCAGGACGGATCCACTGGTGATGCATCGTACCTGTTGAGGACCTATATACTTTGACAAGCTGCAGCTTTGGTATGTTGCCAATGTCGAGACCGGATGGATGGCTCCTACGATGATGGCCCTCTTGAGACTGGCCTCGACGAGGTCAGGGGTCCTAACACGGGAGCCACCACCAGAACCACATAAACGCGGGAGTTCAGCTCTTGGCGAAGCCAAGGAACGTTCTCCGGCCCTCGACAAGTTCTTTGACCTGACTCGCGGAGAGCTTAGGTTGTTGACAGTATCGAGTTGGACAGTTGGTACCTGGTACAGTGATGCAAGTTCCACCTTTGGTTCAAGAACGCAGGGATGCCATCCAAGACAGTGGGTGAAGCAAAGTTGCAAGTTGCTGGTTCAACGCATCAACGTGCTACCATGTGTTGGACCCTGCTTTCATACCTAGACGGCAGCAGAGGATGACCGTGCGACCATGACCATGACCTTGAGTCAAGTTTTTGACGCTGCTAACAGATCGCGCCCTACGATTACCAGACCATCCATGACAAGACCATGAACTTGCCACCAGTTCCAGAAGAGCAAGACGCCGAGGAAGACAAGCCTCATCAACGACATCCTTCCCGCTACTGAAGATGAGAAGGTCTTCCTGAGCTATGTTGGTGACGCGACCCTCGAGATGGCTGATCCTCGCGCAAACTTGAGCAAGCGCTACAAGGCGATTCCGGAGGAGTTCGAGGACAAGGTGGTTGGCTTCTGGGAGCTCTTCAGCGGCAGCGGAAGATTGTCATTGACTGGGCCCTTCGATGGGGTTATGGCATCCTTTGCTGCGCCCGCCAAATATCCAGATGAGAAACGACATGAACAATGACTGCTTGGTCGACCAGCTCTTCAACTTTGTCAAGACCTTGCAGAAGAGCATAATGCTCACGGCCGACGCTACATCCTGGAACAGCCTTACGGTGGCAAGAGCTTTCGGAGAATCGCCAAACCCCAGGCTATACGCGAGTCGGCTTCGAGGTCAGCGCGTGCGAGGAGTGCAAGATGAGCGTGGGTATCTGGCTATCCCATTGTGAAGCCCATTCAAGCCCTAAGCCCACTGGCTTTGGATCCAACAATCGCTGTGAGCGCACTGGGCTCCGATGTGGAGATTGTGTTGTGCTTCAACTCACTTGAAAGGCGCTGGTCCAACTGGTCCCGCGAGAACAGCTCAACTGCTGAAGCAGGCGCCTCCAGACATGGGCAAAGGATGTGAATCTGCATCCTCAAGGGCAAAGATCTTGAAGAGGCTCACGCGCCTGCAGTCATCCAAGACACACACATATGTATATATATATACCCACGCGCGTGGCAGCGGTGATGGTCTGGACAGAGGGCTTCTTCAACGCGCGCGTAGCAGGCGCAGGAAATATCTTGCTAGTCAGTCTCTTGATCTTGACAATGCGTCGTGGGCGCCCTTCTGCAAGTTGGCATCTGGCCCAGGTACATGGGGTACATGAGCCATCAGGCGACGCCGGGTGACCTGGCACGCAACCCGCCCAGAACTTCGACGACGTAGATGCTGCCTGCAGAAGGCGCTCACTCTGCCAACGATGGCTCAATTTCCGACGGGTTGTGGTTGCTTTGAACCTTTGACATACTTCCTGCAGATAGAGCAATGTTGGACCGCCTTGGTCGCGAGCTTGACGAACTGCGGAGCCATGCCGGTCTTCTACAAGAGGTTGCTGTGCTTCGTCTGCAGTTCCTGTCGATCTGGTTCAGGCGGGTCTCCAGGCTGATGGCGGCGAACGAGCCTGGTTGGCGTGTTGTTAGACTACGCTGCGCCAAGGCAGGCCATATTTGGGGGGCTTCGACGCATCACACCTTACCGCGCGTGTTTAGTTTGTCTCCTGCCGGATATCAGCGCAGAAGATGTCCTGAGGAAGCTGATGCGCTTTGTCAAGAGCTTGACTGAGTACAAGACCAATGGAGAGAAACGACAAGTGATGGTTCTTCCTGCTATTTAGATGATCAAGCAGCGAAGACAATGCTTTGGCTGCAGAGCATCTGCAAGGGTCTCCGCAAGCGTCAAGTTCATGAGGTCTAATTAGACGTTCCTTCCGGAGTATCAGGCTTGGGGCCCGACATCGTCCACCAGAATCCTTCGGTGCGACTGAGAGATCCTGCCTTTTTTGGTAAGGATGTACAGGCCACTCCAATTGAACATCCCAGCATGACATGTAGAGGAATGACAGGAGTTGAGTATGGAGATGTTCAGAGAGCCAAACGGCCATGAGACGATGATCAAGTGTAGCATCTTATTTCACACATACATATGCGCAGGCCCCTTTGGCACGAACAAACAAGCTGAGCAAACTAGCAGACCTGCCAGATGGTGTTGGACTATCATCTCGTCAGCCACCGGTGCGTTAAACCAACTGGGATTGTTTTGTGCTCGTTTCTTTGATTTTGGGTTGAAGCACTACTAGGCCAGCCAAACTTCAAAATAAGGCGAAGTGATGCGAAATGTGTTTTCAAAATGGGGCAATGTGTTTCAGCAGTCTGTACAACGGCAAGTCAAGAAAGCTAAGTGCTGCTGTGTCAGACATTTGTATTGTTCGTGAGTTGCTTGGCGACGATGCGGAACCCAGGGCTCATCCCGCCACGGCCATCATTTTTGTCGGCTCGCTTCTCACGATAGTTTTCGGAGTACTAAATTTGATTGTCGCCGTGGCAGCTTGTCTCAATGTGCTGGCGTTTTCAATAATTGACGAATGGATGCGAATGAATCGTTGATACATCGCCACACTCCTCTTTGCAGCTGATTTGCCCATGATGCTGCTGCTGCTGCTGCTGGTGCTGCTGGTGCTGCTAGGTTGTAGATACTTTCGCAGACGCGCGCGACCGGGACGTCCTCAATTTAGCTGAAGAGATGGAACAAGACCTTGCACACGACAAAACGCAGCTTGGTATGACGAACAAAAAGGGCAACAAATATGCATGTCTTTTGATTCCTGGAAAGCGTTTGTGAGCACTACAATGACAACCAGTTTTCACATTGAACCAAGGTATTTGGAGCGTATGTTCAAACGGATTGACTTAGAGGATGCCGGCAAATTGAGTTTGGATCAACTTGTGCAGGCAGTGAAGAACTTGTCAAGTGGGTGCAAGTGAAGAACATCCATATACAAATCCTCGTTTGGCTACTGTAGTTTGAAAAACTTGTGTGAACCGAAACCCCGACAGTGTAGTCCCTCATTTCAGGTCACAAAGGTGCACGTTAGTGAACTGTTAGTTTGTGCGGTTTTGTTTGGTGCTGGCGTATTTTGATTTCAATATGAATGTGTGCATTGTGCGGTTCGTCTTGTTTGCAGGGAGCCCGGAACGATGCGGAGTTCCAAAGCCGGTTGAGGGTGATGGACATTGATGAGGCATTCAGTTTTTTGAACATAAGATATAACCTGAAATGAATTTTGGTTCTGCAGTTATGCATGCATGAACATTTGGAAAGTGTGGTGTCGATGGAACACGCTGGGCGGAAGGTTTGCAGGCATTGATTAAATTCTTTAAAGTTGGGCCTCTCAGAACAGGTCCAGGTGTTTGTGAAGAGATCATTGAATTTTGAAGAGACTTTTGATTGAGCTCAGATGGACTTGGTCCAACTTTTTGAGATGATCGACACAGACGGCTCGGGCTTTATTGAGCCGAATGAGTTTATTCGACCGCTGAGCCGTTGGGTCCACGACTCCAAGACAGCGCCGAGACGCCTGGTTTGTGCCATACACCTTTGGTGAGCAGATACATGTGACCAAACTCTGTCATGATGACCATACTGTCAACTTGTGTAACAAGCAAGATTCACGGCTGGAAGTGAGGCCGAATGAATAGTACATTATTGCCCAAGGATTTATCAAGTACAACATGATGCGCGCGATGGCGCAACAAGAAGAGCCGCCTGGCCAGTCTGCGCCATACTAAAGAGGGCCGAGTTACATTACAAGTGCAATCATGTCCAAGTAGACAGAACATGGAACATTTAAGGAGCATAACATGGCAAAGAATTAATCCTTTCCCTATTGACTTCGGGATCACTGTGTTTGGAGACTTTGTGGCGGAAACCAGTAGGGTAGCATGTTTGGAGCCATGTTTATCGCTGAAGGGTTGAAGCTTGTGACTCCAACTTGTTCATGGCGCTTTGTCTGTGGTCAACCAATTGAACAATTAGAGCCATGGAGCCATGCTGAGGTTTCAAAAAACATCAAAAGACTATTTTGTTTGACTCAGGATAAAAGAAGAGCAGTCGGAGCTTCGACGATGCATAGAAAAGAACTTCATAGAGCTTGCGCGAAGAATAGAATCCTGGCATCAATCAGGAGGAACAGGATCTAGTCCAAAGCCGAATTACTAGATTTGTATAGTCTTTTTGCTGCGACAATCGCGAGTCCTACTTTGGACTTCAGCCCGACCCATTGTTTGGATGAGGACAAGCTGCACCCAACGAATAGCTCGAACTTCGCTGACAAAGGCTCCGGGAAGTTTGATTCGCTTTCTGTGTGACTTGGAGAACAAAGTCGGCCTTCATAGGATAGGGAACAGAATGTAAATAGACACTTCCTCTTCGATGCTGTTTCATGCACCGTTTCTGTTTAGTAATGTTAAGTTTCAAACAATTTAGCAAGCGAAGCAATCACGCGAAGGGGGTTCCAGGAAGCTCCCCCCGTGCTGCAGGGGGAGCTTCCTTGAAGCCTGAGCTCTTCTACATCGGTAGTAGCTTCCTTATTATTTTGTACAGGAACGCTACTAGGGGGTCCTGGCATCGCTACTAGGAGCAAGGACGCTACTAGGGGCTCCTAGCCTTACTACTAGGAGCAAGGACGCTACTAGGGGCTCCTTACTACTTACACCTTGCTACTAGCTATGTTAGCTCTCCTCATGGCCTACGCTCACGAAGAGTGAAAACAACTCAGCAACTCGGAGAGTTCAGAGTTCAGAGTGGGACGAAATCGGAAGCTTCAGAGCGTGTTGTGAGGTTAAGTGACGAAGAAGTGGAACCTGTGAGGAGCTCTCAAAAGGTCACACTTCAAAAGCTTGCAGATTCTGAGGCTCTCAGAGCCAGGGGCTGGGTGGTGTGGATTTAATTGTTTTGTACCCCAGCAGTTGTAAGTCATTGCAGGCTGACCTAGAAGATGCTGTGAAGAGATTGGAAGACCTGGTGCTTCATGCAACGGTCTCTGCTTTAAAAGACCCCACAGATTCTTGGCCTGTATTGATGCAATGTGGTGTAATTACTGTGGTTGTATTTACTTTGCGAGTTAATTTTGTGTCTAGAGACTCATTGAGAAAGGCTGAGGCTAGGGGTGTTGGCCCAGGTTACGAAATGATGCTGTTACCCCGTTCTCCAGATTTGGTGTAGCCATGGTATATTTTGGGGAAACATTGCGAAACAGGTACAGTTATGTTCTGAACCTGTGACAAGGGGACGAGACTGTGCGTCTGCCTCTTCACCGATTGTCGAGAGCACATGCACATGCAGTACAGGCAAAATATGAGTGTCGGGCGCAAACACAAGGATCTGTATCCTCAACTAATGACCTAATGTTTCTTGGATGACCTAACGTTTCTAGGCTTCAATTTTTTGACACTTGGTTTTAAATTATCTAAATAGTTATGCTTTATGCGCTGGTCCAGCTTCGTGGAGAAAACATGTAACTCTTGACTCGCAGACCACCGTAAATCTGCGTCTCGAAAGATGACCATAACAAATAATTGCTTGTGCCAGCACACTGGGAGACAAATGTAAAGAATTGCTATCGAGGATTTGCTAGAAGGCGGACACTGGGAGAAAACTGTCAAGTTTGCTACTGAGCACTTGCCAGAGGCGGGCGGCCAGACTGGGACACAAATGCAAAGAATTGCTACAGGCGGACACACTAGCCCAGACTGGCAGAAACAAGTTTACAATTGCTATTGAGAAGTTGCCAGAAGGCGGCCACAATAGCCTACACTGGGAGATATATAAATGTAAATATTTGCTACTAAGGACTTGCCAGAAGGCGGACACACTAAACTATGACCTTTGAGATGCTGTCCAAACCATCCGCGAAACATCCGCGCTGAGGTTTGCGAACGTGTTTTGTCGCAAAGGACTTATTGAAGGTCTTCAATTATACTATTTCGTCCCTGCCCACGTATGGTAGAAATACCAGGCAGTCCTCCGGCAGAGTGGGTGGAAGTGTCCCCACTGTCACAAACTAACACTGAAGCCTCAACCTGTTCCGTACACGGCTGTGGCAGTAGGTGCTGCAAAGGTTTGTCCGATTCCTTTTCACACTGTCGGAGACTAACAACCTGCAACCTCAACGTTCCTTGCACCGCCCTCACAGTGCGCAAAGGACTCTCCGATTGCAATCCCCACAGTCACGCAGACTGCAACTGTATCACCCTATCGCAGCCGTGACTGGGTCAATGATCCACAGCTCTGACAGGTTGGGCACCTGTTTGTGCCTAATGTCAACTTGAAATCGGCAGGAAATCTTCACGAAAGATCCAAAGTTGAACCTCTCCACTTGCGCCAAGCTGTAAAAATAGCCAAATCGTATATAGGTGCGAGGCAGGTGCATGCTTTAAATCTTGTGTGCGCCTGAAGCTGCAAGACGAAATGGCCTGTCATGTCTCTGGAGATTGCCATGTCAGCGGACAAAAGCGACCGCGGCAAGGGCGAGCGTGTTCTTCAAATAGAGTTGCCCCGTGAACAAATCGAATCACAGGCACTCTGGTCAGCCATGTGACATTATATGTCGCTGCATCCTCTCTGACCAACGGCCGGCCTCGGAATGGTGGACTTGATGCTTGTTTGCTGTGATTGCGTGATCAAAATGCCGCATCCCCCACCCCACCTCCCATCCCCACCTCTCCTTAAACCTCTTAAACCTTTCCTTAAACCCTGCGAAATTGCACACGAAAGTCCGGTTTAGTTCCGTTTCTGGAGACGTTTTGGGCAAATACACGCACGCGCACACACTCTCGGGAAATTGCGTACGCAATTGAATGCGGTTTGCCGCGCGCCCACCTAAGTGAAAGCTCAAGAAAGCCAGGTGGAAGCGCAAGTAAGGCGGTCTGCGTATGACATGTGACTCACAAAGTTCTCAAGGCCTCAAGGCCCAGTGTTTCCAAAACTGCAAGAAGACTCCGAAACTCAAGGATAGTGAGACGAACGTGCGTCTGCCGACCTGAATCACCCTGCCACAGCCTGAAGACCTCTACGATTGAAGTGTGGCTAAAATGGCTAAAACATTCATGAGCAGACTTGATCCCATGACACACTTGAGATAATGCATACAGAATTGGATGCCGTATGCCATACGGCAACCTAGGTGAAAAAAGGGGCCTGAGTAAAACGGGCACAAGGTAGGTTGTAGGCCATCGCTAGTAGGTTGGAGGCCATCGCCCCAAATTCTGGAGGCCATCGCTAGTAGGTTATTTGCGCAAACTTAACCATGCGCGGGAGGTTATCGCTATAGTAGGTTGGAGACCATGGCACCAGGTTGGAGGCCAGCGCTATTAGTTTAGAAGGCACGAGCTGAAAGCTGCGTCAAACAATAAGGTTGGAAGTTGGAGGTCATCGCTAGTTGGAGGCCAGCGCTACTAGTTTACAAGACACAAACTCAAAACTGCATCAAGCAACAAGGTTGGAGGTCAGTGCTAGTACGTTAGAGGCCATCACACCCACGCGGACGCCTCCCACAAGGGAGGCGTGCGTGGCCTCCATCCTGCCCGGCACTGCCGCAGACATAGAACCGTAAACCCGGCGATGTCAAGTCTCCGTAAACTCGGCAGTGTTGTGGCAGCAGATTCATGGGGTGAGACCCTTAGTCAGAGAGTGAGAATCCAACGCGTGCAGAAAAACGCTGAATCAAAATGTGATCCACGATGGTTTCAGCGCTCCCTTGCGGGAGATCACACCCTGCACCCAAGTGGGACGGCAGAGCGGCGCACACTTAGACAATGGGTTTTCCGTGAACTCAATTGCGCACGAAAAAGGACGATGGAACGACAAGGTGAGTGAGTCTGAAAAATTTTAGATGTTGAACAGAGGTGTTGAAATCGCTCAGAAATCGCTGAAACGCGGCGGTGGCGCAGCTGCACAATGGGGAAAAACTCGGTCTCGGGGTCTATCGTGGAAGGACCATGAAAACAAAAAACAGCGGCCAGGGGGAACCAGTGGAGTCAATGTGTTGGTCGCAGGTGCACGAGAGTGATCAGCTCTCACTTCCCTCGACACACATAGCTTCGTTGCGTCAGGTAGGTGTGTCGAGCCTGACGCCCCTGCAGACTGAACGAGTTTAAACTCCTAGAAACGGAGGGTGACGCGCTTAGATGGTTGCTCGCAAGAGCTAGGATCAGAATGAAGTCCCGCTTTACACTCATTAGCACTTGACTTGATGCAATTGCAAAATGCCGAACGGAAAGGTGAAGAGGTCCGCCGAGTTGAAGATGTTTAACAAGTTTTGTTTTCGTGGATTGCCTATTGCTGAAGGCTGCCTTGGACTTAACAATTAGAAATTACGTAAGTCAGGCGTCCGTGACTCATGTCACAGGAAATCCATGGTGTCTTCGTTGGATGCCGACCATGGAAATCCCTGGCATACCCCTGTCTCTTTTTTGACTCGCGCTGTGTTTGTTTCAGTTTGGTTCCTAGTAGTAAGGCCAGAAGCTACTAGTAGCGCCCAGCCTTCTAGTGGAACCTACGGCAGACTAACCAGCTACAAACCTTAGAGACAGGTGTTAACACACACACACTGTGCCGCTATCGGCGCTCTGTATCCCTTACATGAAACGATTTTTAGTGCAACAACTTTGCGCACATAGCGCCAATATTGGCGCGCCGGAGGTTTACTGGCCACCTAAAAAGCCTTAGAAAGACAGAAAAAGAAACAAAACAAGAGCAAACGAAAAGGGCAAGAAAGAAAGATAGGTGT